CGTGTTTGTATTGATTTAAAATCACAAACGTCACTATGAATTAATTCAAGTGGTTCCGTTTTTCTTTCAACTGATTTGAAAGACATTTTCGCTAGTTTTGCCTCTACACAAACTCCACATTTGTGCTTCACATCAATTGTGAATTTAGGAATGTGTTCCATGTTAATTAATCTACGTATAGAATTAAAATTAACATGTCCTAGTCTACCAAGCCACACATTGGAAGACTCAAGCAAGTAAGCAGAAGAGATTTTATTATTATTATTATTAATAATAGTCGTTACATTGAGCTTAAACAGCCCGTAACATACATACCCCTTGCCCACATACATTCCCGACTTAGACAAAACTAGTTTGTCCGACTCAAAGACCATGCGGAAGCCATGCTTGTTCAACAACGAACCGGAAATCAGGTTTTTGTGTATTTCCGGAACAAACAACACTTGGTTGAGAGTCAGCTCTTTGCCCGAAGTCATCTTCAGGACCACTTTGCCCACGCCTTCCACCGCGGAATGAGCAGAATTTCCCATCCACACCTTTTCACCATTTGATGGCTCAAAGGTCGTGAATAGCTCCCGGTTTGAGCAAATATGCCGGGTAGCACTGGTGTCCACGAACCACTCCTTGGAATTGGATCCAACGAGGTTGACCTCGGTCACCACAGCCGCAAGGATGATGTCTTCATCCTTTTGCCCACCTTGCACCAAGTTGACTTGAGAGTCCCTCTTCTTCTTGGGTGCCTTGCAATCCGCGGACTTGTGTCCGTTTTTATTGCAATTGAAGCATTTTCCGTTGAACTTTGTCTTGGAAACGCCTCCCTTGGGACCGAGCTTGCTCTTCCCGTTATTCTTGGTTTTGGAGCCTTTTGCATGCTCCACCACGTTTGCCTTGGCGCCATGAACAATTGGAAGTTTCCCATCGTTCTTCCGGTTATCCTCTTCAATCCGCAGACGGAGGATCAATTGCTCCAAGTTCATTTCCTTTCGCTTATGCTTAAGGTAGTTCTTGAAATCCTTCCAAACCGGCGGCAATAAAGGGATAATTGACGCCACTTAGAAAGACTCACTAACTGTCAGTCCTTCATCTCGAATTTCGTTGAAGATCATTTGCATTTCCTCAACTTGACTCAAGACCGTCTTCGAATCCACCATTTTAAAATCAAAGAATCGACCAACAACAAATTTCTTTGCGCCGGCATCCTCGCTTTTATATTTGTGGTCCAAAGCATTCCATAGCTCCTTAGCCGTAGCTAGTTTGCTATACACGTCGTACAAGCATCATGCAGCCCGTTCAACACATAGTTTCGGCAAAGGAAGTCAGAATGCTTCCAAGCTTCATCCGCGTTGAAAGATTGCGCATCCACCTCACCCCGGGTTGCTACCGGCGCATCTTCGGTCAAGAACCTTTCAAGACCGAGAGTAGTGAGATAGAATAACATCTTTTGCTGCCACCTCTTGAAGTTTAACCCGTTAAATTTTTCGGGTTTCTCCACAGAGTTGCTCGGCACGGTAACCATAGGGATTGCCCCTTGGTTGCCCAAAGTAGATGCACCGCGTTGTGAACCATTGTTCACCGGTGTTCCACCTTCAGATTGATTATCGTTTGGCACGTTCTTCCCACCAACATTTCCAATTTCTTGCGAAACCATTTTAATGTTTTCAACGTTTTCCGAAAACACAAAAAATAAGTTCGTTCACCGAAGCGACAAACTACGTTTTTAGATTGTTTACCACAGTACAACAACCAAGGAAAATACGTTTTAGGAATGTTTACCGGAGTAGAACAATCACCGAATACGTTTTAAGATTGTGGGGTGTGTTTCGGAAAAAACGAAGAAATATTAATTAAATAAAATTAATTAATAAACAAAATAGCTAAAAGAAAACAGAAAATAAGATGGATCAGATTTTAGCCAGAGCTCGTGCTACGCACGATGTCCTTAAAACGTATTCGTCGCCTCCCACGGTGCTAGGAGCGTTGCAACGACCGTTTCCTAGGATACGGTGGCTAACGAACGATCGTTTGAGCACACAAACGAAAGTTCCGGCGAACTAGAACACAGTAAGAACACTTAGGAAATTTGGGAGTAGCTGGAAGTGTTTTTCGCTCAAGAAAACGTGAGGAATGTATTGTGTGTTGTCAAACCGTGTGTTTGTTGCAAAGCACCTGCCAGCTATTTATAGGAGGATTTGTTATGTGTTAAATGGAGTGTTAATGGACCCGAACGTTGGACATCAATGACCAGTCCGTTGGGCATTGAATCGTCCATAAACTGTCCATTTAACGCAGCATTAAAAGTGAAGAACGTTGGGCATTAATTGTTGTAACGGACCAGAACACCTTCTGTTGCGAACAGAAAGCCTCGAGCGTCTCTGTTGCGAACAGAAGGCCTCGAGGGTCTCTGTTGCGAACAGAAGACCTCGAGGGTCTCGTTTGCGAACAGAAGACCTCGAGGGTCTCTGTTGCGAACAGAAGACCTCGAGCGTCTCTGTTGCGAACAGAAGACCTCGAGGGTTTCTGTTCCGGACAGAACTCCACCCCTTCTGTCACTAGAAAAAATAAAACGTCACGGGAAGAAACAAAAAATTAGACCGTATCTTTGAATGATAGGGTTTCGGACGACATTCGTGTCCGCAGGTCGCCCGCGCACACGAGTCGCGGTTTTTCTTCTCCGTTTCGGGATTTGATCGGCACCCCCCCCTGCGCGTAAGAGAGAGCCTTTACCCTTAGGAATCTTAACTCCTTAAAAGAGGCTTCACTTTATAAGGGGGTGAAAATCCCTTGAGTTTTTCGGTGTGGGATAAAACACACTAGAAACTCATCATTTTCCTAGTTTTTCCATTTCAACGACTGAACTTCGAGAATCAATTTCTCATTCACCCGTTATCCGTTTTGAGCGTACCATATATCGAATCGTAGCCCTTAACAAGGACAATCCGAAACCACTTTAACCCGACCCAAATCAGAAGTGGACCCCACTCAAATAATTGCCCCAAAATGACCATTTAATGCAATTTTTAACACATTTTTTCAACACTAGGTCCGTCATGTTTAAACGTTTTCTAATAGCCTAATATTAATTTAGTAATAATTGTAATTTAGGCAACTCTCAAATATTTGCCAGGACATCTTATGGATTATAATTTTCCATTATTTCACATAATATCAGAGCTAGAACTAGGGTTTAATTCTCTCTCTCTTCCTCAACCCTTTTTTTCCGCCGCTGCCGTGCATACTAATGGCACTTCTGCCGCCATGGATACGGTCAACACCTTTGTTGCTGCCGCGGTGTCGTCTCCTACGACAGTCCACAATCGGCTCAACACCAGCGCACTGTCTTCTTCGACGTCGGTCCCACCACTTGCCTCCTCCTGGTATCACTCACCTTCTTGCAGTCAAAAAAATTCCAGATACTTGCAGGGTACGCCAGATCATGGTTCGTGGCTTCAGCCCATGCATAAGGTCACATGTATTGTTGCATACTCGGATGTTGATTGGCTGGTTGTTCAGATACTTCTCGTTCCACAATTGCCTTTGCTGTTTTTTGGGGTCCAATCTTGTGTCTTGGAAGTCCAAGAAGCAACCTACCGTCTCCGAATCTTCTACAGAAGCGGGGTATTATGCCATTGCTTACACTGTCCAGGACACATTGCATATTCAGTCCATCATGTTCGAGTTTGGCCATGGATTCCCTGTCTTGACACCTGTTCATCTCTTCTATGAAACTATATTTGCTTCTTACTTAATTGCAAATCCAGTTCATCATGCTCGGAGCAAGCATATCCATATAGACTATCACTTTGTGCGTGAGCGTGTGACTCATGGAGATTTGATTGTCAAATATGTGCCTACTAGTCTTCACCTGATGGATATATTTACTAAGAGTCTTTCTAGTCAGCAATTTATTTTTTAAAAGACAACATGCACGTTGTATCTCCCGCACAGTCTAAGGAGATGTAATAGCAAAATACTAGTATTAACTAGATTTCCACCCGTGCGTTGCAATTTATAAATATTAGAAGTTTAATAAGCACTCAATTTACAAATTATTAAAAACCTTCTTGAGAACCATACTTTTTGCAATTTTTTTCAAATTTCCCTCATCATCGCATATCAGTACTTCAAGCCATACAGACTTGTCACCCTCAAAATTGCACAAAGAATTTTCCATACATAAAATATGAGTGTCACTCGAAGACACCAATAAATTTGAATCCTATATACCTACGTTTCATCCTTCATCTTACCTGTCTTTCGCACCACACAAAAACTCGGCCTTCATTAGCATCTTTCACACCGCACGAAATCTTATCTTATATGTAGAAAAATCTCAAGCCGATCTACCTCGCACCTATCTTTCCGATCGGTAGAGCTACCTTCTTCTCTCTTCAGCCGCACGTCCCCCTCAGCTATATTTTCAGTGTTTAACACCTTCGCAAAGCATAGACTTCCTCAATCGCCAAAGCAGCCTTCTCCTCCTACAGTCGTTCTTCCAATCGGTAAATCTACCTTCTTTTCTCTTTAATCGCACGCATGCAGACAGATGCAGTTCAGCTACCGCGAATCAAAGCCCTGGATATAGTTTTCGGATCCGTTTTTTTGTTGATTTATTTAAATGTGAGTTTTCATTGTTATTTTACCATCTCTTATTTGATTTAGATTGATTAGAGATATTATTTTCAAATAACCTTATTTTACAAACCCGCTTTGTGTTCCAATTGATTCAAGAATGTAAGACGCTATGTCATTTGCTTGACCCCTTGACAATAGACCTTCTGAAACTTTAGATTCGAAGATATGCTAATACTACGTATAATAAATCTTTGACACAGTTGAGGATATAGATGTAAACTACCTTATTAGACATTCTTCTCCACTATTATGCTTTTGCTGTTGTGTGACCTGGCATAGAGAACACGTCAATTGCACACGTGGACAAAAATGATTGGGTAGGTCAAATTACAATCACCGCTGCTAATTTCCCCCTCTCGGCGTCGCATTCTTCACTCTGCTGGTAATCCGCGGCAGCACCGAACTCCTCCTGTCAAGAGGTCCTCATCACCGTTCTCCTGCCTTGCCCGCGCAGACAAATACAAGTTCTGGATTGATATATCTTATTTCCATGTTATTGCGGCTTCAGAAGATCTTATCCGATCGGATCGCTGAGGGGGGAATTCGGTTTCCGACTACAGTTTAATCTTGTCGATTTTCATCTCATTTGAGTCTCTCCGCGTCCAATGTATAAAATTTCATCTCAGCTAAGAGAACATCGTAGAGTTTAAGGTTGTTTCAACGTATGATCCAGGATTTATTCTTCATTAGCAACAAGGCAAATCAAAATACAGCGACCAGGGTCGGGGGGTGACTTGCCCAAAACCGGCGAGTTCAACCCTTTTCGTGTGGCTCAAAGGACAGATTCCTTCCAAACTGTTCCAATGGATGATGATATTGAAAGGTTAGGCCCTTACCAGGAAAGGCCTAGAACATTTCCAAACATGCGCAGCAAATCTCAAGCACCATGGGTAAGTTTGAGATGTTTATACTACACATCATTTCCCTGTCTGTGGATACATAAGTCATCCAACTGCATTTTTACCTTGTTTTTACACTATTGCCTAATCTATTTTGTTGGTTTAGTGCCTTACTCCCGGATAAAGAGTTAACCTTATTCTTTTTTCACACAAATCTACTCAGGGACAAAGTAGTGGAATCCTTGACCATTCTCACTTCGAAATAATCACCTGTAAAACCTGTACCTTTTTTGGACTCCTAATCTTGTCTTCATAATATTTTCAGAAATTAAAAGATCAAGTTTAGAGCTATTGTTTTGTATGTTAGTGTTTTGAGTTGAACTGTAACAGTCATGGGATTTTCTTTCTCAGAAATTCTTAAATTTATGTTTTGAAGAGGAGAAGTGAAGAACCCTGTCACGATTTTCTAAAAAGCACAACCTCATTTGGAAAGGGACTTGTTTGGCATGAGTTCCCTCTCCCTCCCTCCTCTATATATACCTGTATGTGTTTGTGTCATTCTAGAACTGAGACTGGACGGCTGATCATTTGTGCAGTTTTTTCGTGTTCTCATGAGGATGAATGTTCGAGTCCTTTTAGTGCTTCTGCTCCTGTGTGTTGGTGTCGTCTTTTACATTGGTGCGAGCACCTCTCCGATCATTGTATTTGTGTTCTCAGTTTGCATAATCAGTTCCTTCTTGTCAATTTATCTCGCTAAGTGGGTTCTTTTGAAGGATGAGGGACCTCCAGAGATGTCTCAGGTACAATTTTTATGATATCTTCTTATATTTTGCTGCTGGCGCCATACTTTTTGTTCTGTTTGGTTGCAATAATAATAACGTTTTGTTATTCTGACAACGTATTGGGAACGCCGTCAAGAACTTTTTCTAAATAATGTTTATTCCTAAATTTGAAATACATGAAAAAATCTGGTCATATATTTCGTGTACTCTTGGGCCTTTTCTTAAGATGTTATTGAATCTGTACCTACTACTTTAATTGGTCAAGCTGGCATAGAGTTTGAATCAATATCCCATCTGATCTAATGAATTAGTGATGTACCACTGTTTTAATTAGCACAAATATTTAATGGGTTTGATCTCATATTCTAATATGCCAGATATCAGATGCAATACGTGATGGAGCTGAGGGTTTCTTTAGGACTCAATATGGAACTATTTCTAAAATGGCAGTCCTACTTGGACTGGTTATCCTTGGGATATACCTTTTCCGAACAACAACTCCTCAGCAAGAAGCTTCTGGGATAGGCAGGTAAATTGGACATCAAGTCTGGACAATACCGTGTTGCATGTTTATTCTGTCACTATGACACTGGTTACCTAATGCAGGTCTGCAACTGCATATATCACTGTTATTGCCTTTCTTTTGGGGGCTGTATGCTCAGGCATTGCTGGTTATGTCGGCATGTGGGTTTCTGTACGCGCAAATGTTCGAGTCTCTAGTGCAGCAAGGCGTTCATCAAGAGAGGCATTGCAGGTATTTTTACCTTCCAAAGTTCCAATTCGTGAACTCAATGACAGTAAGATGTTTTCGTACTTAATCATCAATATCTAGGTAGCTGTTCGTGCTGGAGGTTTTTCAGCCTTGGTAGTTGTTGGCATGGCTGTAATGGGCGTTGCTGTGCTCTATGCAATCCTCTATGTGTGGTTAGGGGTGGATTCCCCTGGTGGAATGAAGGCAGTAGATCGTAAGTTGGCTTTGATTCTTTAAATTTAGTTTCATGCTTTTCATTTGTGTAGGCTGTTTTACATAACTTAAATTTACCAGCATTTGCAATTTTGCTTGTTGAAATCTAAATATGTTGATGTGCAGTGCCTCTACTTCTTGTGGGCTATGGTTTTGGAGCTTCATTTGTTGCCCTTTTTGCTCAGTTGGGTGGTGGAATATATACCAAAGCTGCTGATGTTGGTGCTGACCTTGTTGGAAAAGTAGAACAGGGAATTCCTGAAGATGATCCTCGTAACCCTGCCGTCATTGCAGATCTGGTACAAAGTTATCAGTTTTCGTATGCTAAACATTGGTCTTTAAGCACTTTGGTTTGGTTTGCTGATATATATATATATATATATATATTGTTGGTACAATATACTAATATAGTCCAACTCATGTCTTAGTTTATTGATGTAGATTTTTTACGGGGGTGGGGGGGCTGGAGTTGCTGACCTTCAAATCTCCAAGTGGTCAGTGACATGGAGTATCTTGTATTTGTGTTATTGTGGAAATTTATAATAATTTGCTGGAAATCATCATCATTCATCGTCATTACTCCAGTGCCGTAAAGGCTCCCACCTATGGTGCGGTAGGGGGAGGTCAAATGTACGCACTACGCAGTCTTACCCCTGTACTAAAGCACAAAGAGATTGTTCCCGGATGTCCCATAGTGAAAATCGCGTCGAAAATTTCATGGACTGACTGCTTCTTCATTACAAAGAAGCGCAAACAGTTTACCGAGCCATTTTGCTTTATTTCATCATATTCCCAAGCCAAAAAATAGTGAGTCTTTGGCTCCATTGCAAATGATGGGAATACCGACCTTATTTTTAATAATGTAAAATGAGAATGAAGAAGATGAATCTAACAGGAATGTGTAGCTTAAGGTATGTGTGGTAATTGTTGAAAAAGAGAGTTCACACCGGGGAAATTAGGTAGGAATAGCTGCTATTTGAATATAAAGTAAAGCTATAAAGGAATTCACTGAATTTGTTGGATTGATCATTTGGTTATAATACATTCATGGCTATGTGTAACTTGAATTGAAGGTAGGAGACAATGTCGGTGATTGTGCTGCTAGGGGTGCTGATCTTTTTGAAAGTATTGCTGCAGAAATTATTAGTGCGATGATACTTGGTGGAACTATGGCCCGTCGCTGCAAAATTGAAGGTGAGAGATACATTCATTCATTCAATCATCATCATCATCACCATCATTACCCCAGTGCAGCAAAGGCTCCCACCTACGGTGGGGTAAGGGGGGGTCGGATGGACACAGTCTTATCCCTGTACTAAATCAGGGAGAGATTGTTTCCGGATGACCCATAGTGAAAATCACGTTGAAAATTGCATGGACTGACTGTTCTTTCATAACAAAGAAGCACAAACATTTTAGTGAGCCATTTTGCTTTATTCCATGATTCCATCATATTCCCAAGCCAAAACAAAGTGAGTCTTTGGCTCCATTGCAAATGATGGAAACTGAGAGATTCATTCATAAACGGGTTAAATCTCCCCATAGATTGCAACCACATCTATATTGCTGTACTGCAGTTTTAGCTGATTGATTACATATTTGCTTTCTTTAATTGATTTTAGGGCTTTTAGCTCATTCATTCATTGTAACTTAATTCAGACTATGGCTTTTCATTTTAGTGAACTGTAAATCTGAGAAGGATATGTACAGTGTACCCTTAATTTGTCACAATATTCTATCTGTGTGATTGTTCTGTGGAGATGGAACCTGATCTGAATATGAATAGATGTGAGTATTTTTTTTTTTTCATTTACCCCAGTGCCGCAAAGGCTCCCACCTACGGTGGGGTAAGGGGGGGTCGGATGTACGCAGTCTTACCCATGTACTAAAGCACAGAGAGACTGTTTCCGGATGACCCATAGTGAAAATCCCGTCCAAAATTTGCATGGACTGACTGCTGCTTCATGACAAAGAAGCGCAAACATTTTAGTGAGCCATTTGTTAATTGTATTGAAGTTCCAGCTTTGGACAGCGTTAATTGTATTGAAGTTGCGTAAATAAATTACGTGCTGAATATTGATGTTGGCTAATTTGCTCCTTTGTTTTCCATTTGTGGTTAATTTATTTTGAATCTTCTGAGTATATTTTGTTAGCTGTATCTTATGACATTATTCTTTTTTTAGTCTTATGACATTACTCTTGATTATGCAGATGGATGCAATAGTCTTATATAATATTCTCTGTTCTTTGTCATGCAGATCCATCTGGATTCATTTTATTTCCGCTTGTTGTTCACTCATTTGATCTGATTATTTCATCTGTTGGCATATTCTCTATTCGGAACAAACGTGAGGCTGGAATAATTGGTGCCATAGAGGATCCTATGGCAATTCTTCAAAAGGGATATTCAATTACAATATTGTTAGCTGTTCTGACCTTTGGAGTGGTAATTTCATCTTCACTCAACCTCAGTTCATTGTATGTGCTTTGTCGTTTTTAATATTTTTTCTTTTTGGAAACATTAGAGGAAATGGGATGTGGAGCTTAAATGTGTCTGATTATCATGTCTCAATTTACTTGCAGTCCACACGGTGGTTATTATACACTGAACAAGCACCTTCTGCTTGGTTAAATTTTGCACTCTGTGGTTTGGTTGGAATTATAACAGCATATGCATTCGTTTGGATAACGAAGTACTACACTGACTATAAACATGAGCCTGTGCGCACCTTAGCCCTTTCTAGCGCAACAGGCCATGGAACTAATATAATTGCCGGTGTTAGTCTGGGTTTGGAAGCTACAGCTCTACCAGTCCTTGTCATAAGTGTATCCATTGTCTCAGCTTTCTGGCTGGGCCGTACGTCAGGACTGATGGATGATTCAGGAAATCCAACTGGTGGGTTGTTTGGGACAGCTGTTGCAACCATGGGAATGCTGAGCACAGCAGCATACGTTCTTACCATGGACATGTTTGGTCCTATAGCCGATAATGCTGGTGGAATAGTTGAGATGAGTCAACAGGTAAAGCTTCACAATCCAACTCCATATTTGTTAGATATTTTTTAGAGTTATTAACGCGATCTGTTATAAAAGACAATTTGCAGAGTGGACTATTTATAATGAATAACAATATTGCTGCAGCCAGAAAGTGTTCGTGAGATAACTGATGTTCTTGATGCGGTTGGAAACACTACTAAAGCCACAACCAAAGGATTTGCTATTGGATCTGCAGCCTTGGCTTCCTTTCTTCTGTTCAGTGCTTACATGGATGAAGTTGCTGCATTTTCTAATGCACCTTTCAAGCAAGTACGGTTTTGCATTAAAATACTTAACAACTTGTTAATTGGTGTCTTTTTTACTAACAGAGTATGTGTATTTCTAATCTTTGTTTTGTAAATCGATTTTGGTATCTATAATTCATCACAGGTTGATATTGCCATACCTGAGGTATTTGTTGGTGGATTACTGGGCTCTATGCTTATCTTTCTGTTCAGTGCATGGGCTTGCTCGGCAGTCGGTCGGACCGCTCAAGAAGTTGTCAATGAAGTCAGGAGACAATTCATTGAGAGGCCAGGAATAATGGTTTGTGTTCATCTTTGAAATAGTCTCCAATCATGTATTACTATTAATTATTAAAGTTGTATGCTGCCTATGATGCTTTTTGTGCGTTTCTAAATATTTTTCCGGTAAATGATTGGTGTAGGACTACAAAGAGAAACCAGATTATGGTCGATGTGTATCTATCGTTGCTTCTGCATCTCTAAGAGAGATGATAAAACCTGGAGCATTGGCTATTATATCACCTGCTGTTGTTGGTTTGTTCTCTAAAATTTGCTTTTTTACTTTTTTGTTGCTTTCAGATCTATAGAAGGTGTCTTCTTTTCTCACATGAAAATAAATGTTAATAGGCTCACGCATTTTCCTTTCTATTCGTGAGTGCTCATACTAACTACTACGGGTGACATTTTTTAAACCAAAAATATCATATACTATCCTCCGTTCTTTAATTCTTGCAACAGTTTGACTTTCACGTTTTCCAACACACAACTTTGACCGTAATTATATTTAATTATGTATTAGTAAACATTATAAAAATTTGATATTTTGGAAATTCACATTGAAAAGAATTTAATAACATTTTATACGTAATAATTTGATTATGTATATTAGTAGAAAATCGTGGTCAAAGTAATGTCTATGAATAGTTCAAAAATCATAATGTTGCAAGAATTAAAGAACGGAGGACGTACGTAGTATTAGTTGGCCTTATCAGCCTGTAAGCAGAAACAAGAAAAGTAGGTGGCTCATTCAACCACTCATTACAGGTTTGGTATTCCGGATGCTGGGATATTACACAGGGCAGCCACTACTTGGGGCAAAAGTTGTGGCATCAATGTTGATGTTTGCTACAGTGTCTGGTATTCTGATGGCTCTGTTCCTCAACACTGCTGGTGGGGCCTGGGATAATGCAAAGAAGTACATTGAAACTGGTGCTCTTGGTGGCAAAGGAAGCGACTGCCACAAAGCAGCAGTTACCGGTGATACGTAAGTGGTGTTCTTTTCATGTTCTACTTGCATGTGTTTGCGTGTGTATGTGTGCATGTTTCTTGTGTGCATGTTCTTTAACTCAGTGTGATACAACATTTATGCTTGTCGCATTTACTTCTGTGGTTTTTACACAGTAGTCCTCGTTTCATTTTTGGGCCAAACTCACCAGAATTAATGGTGCCTCAGATCTTGGTTTGCTTTAAACGGGAAATTTAATCATAGTCAAACAAACGAAGTTGCAGGGGTTATGGGGACTAAATGTGGCAAAAATCATAGTGCTGGGAACGAAAGTGACAAAATAGTTATGAGACTGAAAGTGGGGAAAATGTATATATCTCTGACATGTGGAATTATCCTAAATTTGATTGAATTTCCCTTGTACAGTGTAGGAGACCCTTTCAAAGATACAGCTGGACCTTCGTTGCACGTACTCATAAAAATGCTGGCAACAATCACTCTGGTCATGGCTCCTATATTTCTGTGAAGAGAGTAAAGCTTAGTCAGTGTACTTGTCCTTTTTCAAGAATTCATAGCTCTACATTCTTGGGAATCTCTTCTTGTACATTCCATATATATATGGACAGAATCTTTCAAATCATCGAAGCCTGTATACTGCTCTCAAGTGAAATATTATAGTTAGTTAGTAGTCCAATTTTCCCCAGCCTTTTTTGGATTTTGGCTTATCCTTTCCGTGTACTTTTGCATACCTGCTCTGTCTAGGAAAACAGCCAGTTGATGGGGTGGTGTGGTGGTATTAAGAAGCTCTCATGAAGAATTTTTTAGTCAGGCTTCTATAAACTATTAGACTATTAGTAAATCACAAAGTTGACATTTTCAGCATTAGACTTGATGAAAGTCCACCCTTTTACTACCATTTCGGCATCATACAGCTGGACACTTGACAACTTCAATGAATGAATGAAAATATTAGGATGGTCATTATTCTCTCTCTCACACATGCATGTATGTGTGTGTATGTATGTATTTCGCATATGAAGAGAACTTATTTTGACACTTTCATGCTGCATCATATGGCATGGTGTTTTACAACAGCAGCACACACACACACACACACACACACACATATATATATATATATATACACATATACATATACATATATACATATATACATATACATATATACATATATATATATACATATATATACATATATATATATATATACATATATATATATATATATATATATATATACATATATATATATACATATATATATATATTGTTTTAGAGTCCAAAAAATCTTTGACGTTGAGGATTATGACATCCGTAGGTAGGGGTGGACTCGGGCCGGGTGGCCCGGCCCGGTGGCCCGGTCCGGGTAGGCTTGACCCGTGGGTTTTCCGGTCCAAGCTCGGGTCACCCAAAGGCCAAAACAAGGCCCGGTTCGGGCCGAAATTGATTTTTTTTTCAATTTTTTTTTTTAATTTTCGGGTTGGGTATTTTGGGCCATTTGGGGTGGTTTGGGGGGTTGGGGTGGGAAGGGGGTTAAATGGTTAATTAGGAAGAGGGAAAACAAAATTGATAATAGGCCCGGCCCGGAGTTGGACCGGACCCGGTGGGTACCCGGGCCGGTCCTGGGCCCATCTATTCAGAACTGGCGGCCCGGCCGGGCTAGGCCCGAGTCCAAGTCTATCCGTAGGGGTGATGGGGTGAAGAAGCGTGCTTCCTTTGTTGAGCCAATTCTTTGGTTCATCCCTTTCTTGTTGAGCCATTAAGTTCAATGCACTCTTATTTGATGAGTGATCTCAATCTTTGATCAATCAAGACGTAAAGTCATAAGTGGGCTTTGTGATTGCATAACCTTTGCGTAGCCGTGCAACTTGTACACATTTTGTGTACACACTCCTAGTTTCCTAGTTGCCTGTGTACTAAGGCATGTACATCTGATGTGTACAAATAATTTTTTTCAACCTTTGCGTTGTCCTGAAGAAAAGAACTTTATGGGTGTGCAGTCGTGTGTTATTTAGGGGTGGGCACAAATAACCGTAATCGATTAACCGAACCGAAAAACCGGAAAATCAGTGTCTTTTTCGGTTAATTGCACCGAAATTTTTAAAATTGACGGTACAGTTAACCGATCGGGAGGGGAAAATGGTTAGCGGTACGGTTACGGTTTTGGAAATTATCCTCGTCGGTTAACCAATAACTGTAAGTTCATACACATGAATAATAATTTACGATGAAGGTATGTAGACCGCAAACGATAAAGCGAACACTTCTCAGTTTTGGAATTCTTGTATATGTATATTCACGTCCATACATAGTGGAATATACACACTTTCTTTACTAGAAAGAATATACTTCTAGACTAATGCTAAGCTAGTGACATGTGTGTATATATATATATATATATATATATATATATATATATATATATATATATATATATATATATATATATATATATATATATATATATATATATTTTCTTTAGTATTATACGTATAAACAGTTTTTTTTAGTTTGTCTTTTATTACTCCAGGGGAGGCTAATTTTCTCCAGATGTTAACCAATATAAGTTTCTAATTTATATATCTGTGAGGAGTAGGAAATAGTTTGATACTTTGATGAATTTATTATTTTCTATTTCATGGTTTTTGGTTAACCGATTAGTGGTTAACCGATGTTACGGTACAAATAATGATATTAACAAATATATCAACCAACATCGCGGTTAACCGAAAATTGGTTAACCAAAGTCCGGTTAATCGACCATGGCCACCCCTAGACTGCTGTTTAGAACAAAAAGTGATCCTATATGCCTTTGATGTTATAAGGGGAAATTTGTTCTCGTTGTGTAATTAAGTGGGAGTGAGTAAAAGAATTGAGCAAGCACATGATAAAACACTCCAATGTATGGCTCCATTTTGGAGTCGTATAGACCAGACCTATCACCTAAGTTGTTACAGAATAACCATTCTATTTTATAATGAATTGTGCTGTTTTAAAAATAAATGATTTTGATGTGTGGAGTTTGCCAATATGCCATTTGACTCCAAAAGGGAGTCGTATATGAGACTCCATAATCTTTCTCCTCCAAAAATCATTATCTTAACAGTCAATTTGTGCACAGTTTCGTTCTTACGGAGTAATATATTTGGAACTAGATCTGTTGGTTCTTGTCCCAATGGGTATGTATCATTAGGGGGGTATTTTTAATTCTTCTTTCCTGTCAAACCAAGGGATGGGAGTGACGAACACTTGAAATATACCGGTTATTCTAAATAGATCACTAACCCTTTTGACTTGCACATGAAACATAAAGTAAAAACCGTGTTATTGATATTTATGCGGAGGAAAGAGAAATAATTGTAACCATATATTTATTATTTTAAATGAAAATGTAAGTTTTTTGGGACAACGAAATAAAGAAAGTTGGCAAGGTTTTATAGGATGGGAAGAATATTTTATAATTTTATTTTTAATATTAGTATATATTTTTTATTTGATTGAAATTATTTAGTCATCTGATCTAGTTTTGTCTGGTCTATTCTAAATTTGTCTGGTCTGACCTGATAGATACCTTTTTTATGTGTATTTTTTATTGTCAATATGTGATTTGATCTGGAACTAATATTAATCTAATTAAAAACATTCCCGATACTATAACCTTTTATTACATTAATTTGTGTTCCATAAATTCTTTATTATTTTTTAAATTATTACTAGTCTCGTATAACTAGGTGCCATACATGCAAAATTAAGGTATTGTTTGCAAAAAATTGAAAAAATGCTTTTAAAATTTTGGCTTTAAAAGTTGAAATTAGTGTTTTCAAGTGATAGCTTCTGCTTAAATTTTGCACTTAAAAACTAAAAGCTACAAGCGGGTGGAGGGGTGCTTTACATTGTTTTCCACTTTTTCTATTACACAAAAACACTTCTTTTATCAAACATTACAAGAGCTACTAGAACTCTTGACACAACCAGCTTTTAGTGAATGAATAGATCTTAAAAGAAAAATATTGTAGTTTGTTGGAGTTTAATTCCAACTACAAGAGCTACTTTACGTAAAACTGTATATTTTGCAGCGAAAGACATTATTATTAATCGGAAAAGCGGATCCATTTTATGGCGAGTACAATAAGTATTTATAGACATAGGATTACAGTAGCCTAAGAAGAGATATATAACCGGTACATTTAATAGTCTAATCATGACGGAACTCTTATAATGTATCCCATAATTCCGCATTTATTACTCTTTTATGTTCACGTATCTTCCGTTAAGTCTTTGCCACTGCCAGATAGCTACGCGTTACTAATGGCCTGCCACGTAAGCCCTAGGATAAGTCCGACCTCGCTAGAATCCCTCCCAGGATCGAGGCCTGCTCTACAGGTCGGTCTGGATGTGGGTTTCTTTCACGGGTCATAGTTCCCTCTAAGGCACAGTTGGCTTTATTAATTAATTAATTAATCATGATAATGGGCTTGGTTTATTAATCCTGTACAGTGGACTTCGTGCGTGTGATCTCTAATTGGGCCATGATCACAGTCCATTGTATCATCATAGTTGTTTGATTAAAAACTGCCAGTTTGATATAATTTCGTTTGGTATGACAAGCTGTTATGACTAATTAATGCTAAAAACTATAGATTTTTCTCAGATGTAAAAAAGGTCTTTTATTCTTAAAAAACTCTTAAATATTGGTATGCCAAACATACAACTAGAAGCTTATAAAGACTTTTTAAACAATACAAAAACTAAAAGATATGGACTTATGCCTCCCAAACATGCACTACCTTGGATTACTTTTTCGAAAGTACTTAGTATTTTTCTCTAACACTACCAACTTTTACCATTAAAAGAATGTTTGGATCTGCTTCTTAAAACTATTTCTCCTCCTTCAGAGAGTAGAAAAAGATATTGGAGTGTGAGGGTGAACGTGAAGAACTACTTTTGAAAAACTGAAATCAGTTCTGCTTCTGCTTTTAAAAAAAGAAGCAAAGACACTTTTTGCAAAATCACTTTAAAAATCACTTTTTAAGCAATCAAACCGTCCTGAACTAGAATTAATTAGGAATATACTACCTTGCAAGAACATACATAATTTATAATAGTGCTTATTTGCTAGTGTAAGAATTTACTTCCTTTGCACTTTATGTAACATTTGAATGTTGTACTTATAAAATTTAGTGTATGACTTTTTGCATTTTCATTTTATTTATAACCTAGTTGTATCATTAAAGAATTCATCACTTAAAATTTTTGGATCTTTACATTTATTAGACATATTTAATTATAATATGATTTCATAAGTTTAATTTCAAAGAGTGATGCTACTTGTACACTTTCTTTGTACACTTTTGATGTACACAATCCCTAGTTGGTTGTGTATACAAGATCTTCTGAATGTACTGCTTGTGTATAGAGACACTAGGAGGGTGTGTACAACAAATGTGTACAAAAAGTGTACAAATGACTTTTCCCAATTTCAAAATGGGAGAGCACAAAATGGTTTTAAGGTCATATAAAGTGTACCTCGTACCAACCCCTTATCATATTATATGAGTAATATTCATAACAAGTACACAAATGATTGATGTTTGTACACACTCTTATACACACTTTTGTACACATCTATGTCTGTGAAAGCTTTTTTTATCTGTGAACGTCGATTCACAGACAATGTTTTGCACAAACAAAATATTATCTGTGAACCGGGTTCACAGACAATTTTTTTTTTACAAACATCAAAACATGGTGTGTATAAGGTGTGTACAAGCATGATTAAGTAATGACACATTAAAGCAATTATATTAAAGAAATGCTGCGCGTGATTGGATTTGGGAACCGAGTGAAGATTTTCAATCAATATCCTACACTTTGGAGGATCATCCAACAGAAATCTTTGATAGAGGATTATCATATTGATTTCTTGTATAATCAAGCTTCAGAGAAATAAAATTCAAATTCGATCG